AGAGTGTCCGCCGTCTCATTGCCCCTTATCCCAGCGTGCCCCGGTACCCATATTAACGATACCGGATGCCTCGCTGCGAGGCAATCCAGAGCCTCCCTGCATTGCAATACAAGACTCGAAGTAATCTTACATGCACTTAGTGCTTTCATTGCAGCCTGGCTGTCGGATAAGATTGTTATTCTTCTCCTAGGCCCACCCTCCTCCAGAATGTGAGATACACAAGCCAGAATCGCAAAGATTTCCGCCTGGAAAATGGTGGTGTACTCACCGAGAGGCAGAGATAGCCTAGTTCTAGGTCCAGAGACCCCAGCACCTGAGCCCTCTTCGGTGACCGAGCCGTCCGTGTACCAGACCTGCCCGCTCACTTCGGAGAGTCCTCGGCTACCGGCGTCCCACTCCTCCCTCGTTGGGTACTCCACAATGAACTTGCGGTTGAAGCGATATTTAGGGGTAATACGATCACCCCTGCTTACAAGGACGGGGTCCTCCCTTTCTAATTCGACTAATATGGCAGTATGCCCCTTGACCGGATTCAAGAAAGCCCAGCTGCCCTGACTCCACAGTCGATGAGCGACTACTCTCGCTTCACCGCGGATCACCAGATCCAACGGTGGGAGATCCAACAGAGCTTCCAGTGCACTCAATGGCGTTGTTCGCACTGCGCTTGTAATGCTAATACAGGCCAAACGCTGAATTTTATTGAGTTTGGCCTTAGTTGACTCAGTTCTAATGCAAGGCCATCAGACCAGGGAGCCGTACAAGAGAGATGGACGTACTATCGTCGTGTAGAGCCAGTATACCACTTTGGGTTTAAGCCCCCACCTTACACCGACAACACGTCTACAAGCCCACATCGAATTGCGAGCCTTGCTAACCTTGTGTTCCACATGCTCTCTCCAGTTCAGTTTGCAGTCCAGGATTTGCTGTTAGTCATTCGTCTCCTGAGGTTAGCCGCGAGTCCGTGCTTGACTCTGGCCACTTCAATCGACAGGCTTCTTTTAGTCCACCCGTTGTACACGGGCTGTTCTTTCCCTTCTTGGGTGTACAACTATTGTCGGTCTTCTCTTCTTTTCTTTGGCCTCATCAGCTGCTAGGGCCAAATGTCTTCTTGTTGCAGCTGGCTTTTCGGTCTTTTATGACGCCTTATTGTTCTTGGGTCGTAATCCAAGGCGTCTTTAATCAGCACATTTCGATGTCTTCCGTTCTTTTCAAAGAACTTCCTCTCTCTCATCTGGATTACGACCGGTACCTGTCGTAGTTCGTCATATAGCACTCTGTTAGGTACGTACCACGGTGCGTCCACCGCCCCACGGAGTGCTATGTTTTGTTGAGCTTGGAGCCTCTTCCTCATCGTTTTGGAAACGTAGCCCTAAGCTACTACTGCGTAAGTCATGATTTGGAGCAGCACCATCTGAATCATGATGGCCTTATTCTTTAGAGACACTTTGCTTCTTCTGTCTGTTAAAGGTCTTAGTCTGGAGAGTGCCATCTTCACTTTCTGCAGCTGGCCCTCGACATGGTTCTTCCAAGTGAGTTTTTGGTCCATCTTGACTCCAAGGTATGTGCTGGAGTCCTTCCAGTCGACCTCAACTTCTTCGTCTCTTCTTCAGCCTCTCTCCATTCTGGTGGTCGTCATCTTTATTTTGGCTTGAGGTAATCTTCTATTTTTTCGGAACAGTACCGCTTCGGTCTTCTCAGGGTTGAGACGGATCTTCCACTTGATGCACCATTCCTCTAGGTTGGTAGTCGCTCATTGCAGATATTCCGTAACCATTGCGGGATCTCGTACTTTCTGCCGCATATGCTGTATCGTCCGCATACACATACAGTTGCGTTTGTGGAGTCTTCGGGATGTCTGAACTGTAGACTGCATACAGCAGGGGTGATAGAACCGCACTCTGCGGTACTCCTGCATCCACAGTCCTCGTCGTCGAAGTTTCTTTACCAATCCTGATTCGGAATTTACGGTGCTTCAAATAGGACTTCACCAGTTGGATCATCCCCTTTGAGTATCCGAGGTCTACCATCAGTCCGTCATGCCAAACAGTGTCGATCGCCTCGGCGGCATCCATGAACACATCTCCCACGGCCCGCCGAGTCTGGAACGATTTCGGCAAGCGGAGTAAGGGATAAGGATGTGCGTTCCTAATCATAGGCAACTCAAATGTACGCCTCTCATGTGCGCGACAGCCTGAGTGGGAATGCATATGTGTATAATTAAAAAAAATACCGAAAAATCCGGTTCATGCATAGACAATCTGAAATTTGCAATATGAATTTATATTCTAAATTCTATGCATATCCGTGCATATTCGTCAATATTTCATTTGAAGCTTTTATTTGTCATAAGACTTTAGCAAAATGTAAGATAGTAAAAGCAACCCCGCACCCTGCAGCCCAGTTGACAAGAACGACAAGCTGTCAAGATTAGGGATATTTGCATCCACTAAAAGTATCGATACGTATCGATTCTTATCGTTTTAGGAAGTATCCATACTCATCCCTACTGTCAAGATGTATAACCCTAGGTACCGACGGAGCTATTTTGGGGCGTCATGGACATAATTTTAAATTTTCATTTGCATTTTTTCAAGTGTTGTGCAACGATTGTGGGATAAATTCCACGTATAGTCTTAGAAATGATAGTAGAGTATATTTCAACAGTTGGGGAAGCTTACTCCACTGATCCCAAGGGTTGACGGATCCCACACATGTGTCACTCGTTGGGGAGTTTTGAAATGTAAAAATCAGCTGTTATTCAAATAATGTCTAATATAAATATAACGTAGAGTGTGTACTCAGTGAAATAAGAAAGTTATGGCCAATTCTATTTTGTTGCAGGCTTTAAGTTTGTCGTAGCTATACGACATATATTTGGGTACTTCTTAATAGCTGTAAATATACTGTGGATGTTTGTTCAGTTCCTGAACAGCCAAAGAATATTTGACTATATGGCTGTACGTATATCAAAAATCCTGAATGGTTTTGTGGGAATATCAATCGACGGTGCTATAGTGGATCTCATGAACGGCAAGTAAATGAATAAATGGTTGGAAACGATCAATATCTATGAAATTTTTTGTAGAGCCTGTCATCAAGTAGGTGCTTTATGGCTATCTGCAAAAGGTTTATAGGAAAAAACACACGGTAGGTGATGTTAAATCAGTAAAGTCGCATATCCATTGAAGAAAATAATATTAACATGAATAAACAATCGACAATATTAAATAAAAACATAAATTTTATTCAAAAATCGAACACTTTAAATTTTGCCTAAATCATATGTAATTTCCTAATATTCAATAAGCTGGTGATGTTTCAATGACAAGCTGTCATCTCATACTTTGACATTATTTTGTTTTCAACATTTCATAACTATTGATTGCCGAAATTTGTTGATAGGAACTTGAAGCTCATTCGCTGTATTTGAAGGACTGTTACCCTACAAATGGAGAACGACGGACTATTGATTTGACAATCCTGGTGAAATCCACCCTTAGTCCAACATATTGCGGCATTTCATTCAGCATGATGTAAGAGATATTGTATCTACTCATATTTACTGTAAAGTTAGAAATTGAGTTTATTTGTTAAACAGGCTGTGCCATTATTTGGTGAACATAGAAATAGCACGTAGACACAAAATAAGTCAATAGGACATGATTTACCTCCATGCAAAAGTCTTTGTGTGTCCTAATATTGTGTTGATGTTTCCTTTTTAAAACACATTTTTTAAGACACTTTGAGAAGCGACTGTCGGAATTGAATGAAATTTAGGAGACATGTTCTGCTAGATGTCCTAATATTTGACTGTCACAAAAACCTTAAAGGGTTCGAGACAGGTGAAAACTACCCCGACCCTTACATAAATTATAGCAGAACTTTTTGGCAACTTTCTCGAAGATTCTGAATTTTATTTAGCAGATCTTAGTTGATTCATTTTTAAAAACTAAACAAAATAGAAAAGTTTATATTAGCCCTCTTTATATAATTTATAAAATGTTTCTTACTGTACCTCGTAATAGTCTTTAGTTTTCTTACATTAATCGGTTGATTTGTAAATGATATCTAAAATGGATTATTTTTTGACCACTACATTCCAAAAGAGTAATTTCACTATAGCTTTTTTTATAATCGAACACGGAAGGACCTCAGTTTGCAAATATCCATCTAATCATTTTATCTTTGTTTTCTTTTTAATTCTTTTTTTGTGTGTATATGTCGGGAATTGCTATCCTGGTAATATAATATGAGTTTAAATAGCTCATTTTATATGAATGTTCAAAATAAATAAGTACTTTTTAATTAATTTTCTTATATAAAGTGCTAATGGAAGTATATTTAAAATTGGTGTTTTAACATTTTTTTGTACTGTCCTAAAGAAGGAAATAAATTTTCCGAAGCGTCGGCAGCCTGATAACGGAAAACTATGTTTCTTCCCAAATCCAAATAAACAAAATAACCTCATGCATGTCAAGACAAGACGTATTGCAAACTATATGTAGAATCCAACAATGACAAAACTATAGGGGCTGCTATTTTAAAAATTAAGTTAATTGATGACTTTGCATATACAAAAGAGCAATAAAATAAAACTGACTGAAACCAAGAAACTCTTATATTTTATTTTTATTTTTTTCTAAATCCATTGGTTTCTGAGATAACGGGGTGGATCATGTCAATATGGGACCATTGCATCTGATCCAGACACCAAAACCAGCTTCCAATATGCAGACCCTGTCTATTTTCTGACATGGATGATTATACTAATGCATTCATAACATTAAGATAGAATAATTGTGAATCATTGGCTAGGCCTAGTAGTTGCTATATTCGACGCCCAAGTAACAGGGTAGTTGTTTGACGGAAGATGAAATGTATTCTTGATGATTTGGCTATTAGACCATGACGTTGCAATTACAGAAGCTGAAAGCTGGTCGGCTAATAAAAAGTATTTTTCAGTTTTGCTATTACAGGTAATATAAAAAAAAAAATGTTACCTTGGAAATGTACCCGGCTTGGCGCATATGAAAGTCTCAGTACAAGTTTCTGTCTCTTCACGAGCCTCATTACTCTCTAACGAGAGCGATTCCACCGATGAATCAACAGGCTTCACGTCACTTGCAGGATTAACATCATCAGCAAGTTTCATATCGTCGATAGGCTTGGATTCACCAAGAGGCTTTACATCAATTTCATCAGATCCAGGAGCCTGACAACTTTCTGCTTTATCTGCTCCGCTTCTGACAGTGACTACAATATCTATTTTATTGGGGTTCTTCAAAGATATAGGCCCCTTTGAGCTGTTGTCCACTGATTTGGCTACTTTGCAGTGAACGTAATGTATTATTAGAACTCCAAGGCAAACCTGCAAAACAATTTATATCACCAGTTCGGTATGGTCGAGCTCTACTAGATAAATATAACTGCCTGCTTCTCACCCTTGTAAGTGTTATCATGTGGTACTCAATATTATATTTTTAATAACCAACGAGGTTTATTGTCAGATGATGTCACTGCAACCGCATGACAATTATGTCATGTGGATGTCATACATTTACGTTCGATACAAGAACAAACGATTTTTTCACTAGTCTACAGCATAGCACTGTGCAATACCGGGAACTGTTACTCAAATTTTTACGAAGAACGGCACGGCACGGGCATCATGTAAAAAACATATAAAACCTATAAGATGTCAACTTGCAGAGTAGATAGTTTTTAGGGCGCAAACAGTCATTCCACGTTTGCTCACTAGGATCGTTGTGAGCGTCCATCTATGGAGGAATGACTCAACTAAACTACGCATTATTGGTTGCATCGTTTTGTGAGGCTGAGTGATCGTCTGTAGTTTTTATCTCTGAGAAGAATGTTGAATAGCAAAATCGCATCTGGATGATTATGTGTATTGGTCTGCATGTGTATAAAATCAGTGATATTTGCTGTGTGAGAAAATCATTGCTGAATATGACGGTTTATTTATATGTTGTGCTTTCTGAAGAGAGGTTATGTTCAAAGTTATAAGTTACGAAAAACTGAGGGCTTTGTGTAATTACTGTTAGCATGTATATGGCTTGTAATTCGATAGTGTACAATGAATATACCTAATTATTTCTTATCTCTCTTATTTTTTAAATTCACCAAATTTGTATATGTAATTTCCAGAATTAATAAGAAAAAGTGGATGCGCAACTAATTTCTAGCTTTGAATCTCAATTACGTTTATGTTGGTAGTTTCCGTTTTAAACTATAAACGAATTGGCTGGACGACGAGTTTCCAGATGAATGGATAGGACGAAGAGGGCTTATAGAATGGCCTGCTAGATCTCCTGATCTGATGCCATTAGACTTTTTTCCATGGGGTCATTTGAAATCTATTGTGTTTACTCTCCAACCTGAAAGTTTGGCTGAACTTCGTCAACGCATCATCGAAAGCTGATACGATATCCCATGACATGTCTTTGAAAATGTCCGCCAGGAATTTGAACGTCGCCTAGTGATAATATTCCTGCATTTTTGTTTTCTATGTGAACAAATTTAGATAAATAAATATTTTTCTAATTTTCTTGAAAACGAAGCGACCGATTTTAAAAAATCAAACGTCAACATCAAGGACTTCGAAAGACCTTTCGGACAAGCTATGGCTCGATATCGCTTGTATTTTGAAAGACCCTGGGTGGCAGAGGGTGAAAGGGGGTAAATTAGTCTTTGGTTAAAAAGTTGGCCACCTTGACAAACCTTTTGACGCGTGTCCGCGACAAGAACCCATCAATCAACACACACAACTTACAGCTTAGACTTCCAGTAATGCCATCTCAGAATCAGAGTTTACATCACATCAGAGCCAAAGATTGATAACAGTAAGTTAGAAAACAAATTCCAAACAAGGTAAAAATTAGTCTCAGTAGATCATGTATTTACCTGATGATAGTATTTATGAGCTTATGAATGTTAGTCCTATATATAGAATGTAGCAACATTTTCAAACTTAAAGCCTTTAGGTATAATTTCATAAAATTTTAACGCTAAATAGCATCACAGATTTTTGTGGCTAACGAACCACTGTGCCACAAGTCTTGTACCTTGTATAATGATTATGTTTAATTTTTTGTTCGGTGTTAACAAATTTATAGTAGTAAGTCTTATATCATACATTTGTACATCTGCGTATAATTTGTCAGTAGGATAGTCTCGGTCTTTTAAACAATATTTTTAGGGCCAATTTCACCAACAACAGTCCGTTATTCTCCACCTCCAAATACAGCGAATGAGCTTCAAGTTCCAATCAACAAATTTTAGCAACCAATAGCTATGAAATGTTGAAAAAAAAAATACTGTCAAAGTATGAGATGACATCTTGTCATTGAAACATCATCAGCTTATTGAATATTAAGAAATTACATATAATTCAGTCAAAATTTAAACAAATCTTTGATTTTTGAATAAAATTCATGATCTAATTACTATTGTTGATTCTTATTCATGTTTATATTATTTTCTTCAATTGATATGCGATTTTACTGATTCAAGATCATCTACTGGGTGTTTTTTCCTATAAACCTCTTGCAGGTAGCCATTAAGCACCTACTTGATGACTGGCTCTGCCAAAAAGTTCATAGATATTGCTCGTTTCCAAACATTCATTCATTTACTTGCCGTTCATCAGAACCATTATGGCACCTTAGATTGATATTCCCACAAAACCATTCTGGTTTTTTAATATCCATACATCCATAAAGTTGAATATTTTTCATTGTTCAGGAACAAACATCCACACTATATTCACAGCGATTAAGAAATACCCAAATATATGTCGTAGAGCTACCAGCAAACCTAAAACCTGCAGAAAAACTAGAAATTTGCAATATTTTTCTTTTTTCACTGAGTACATATTCTGGGTTATATTTATATTATACGTTATTTGAATCACAAAACGTATACACTGATTTGAATAACAGCTGATTATCTCCTGATATTTTAAAAGTAACCATATCGACAAGTGACACATAATTCTGTGGGATCCGTCAACACTTCGTCCCAGTCGAGCAAACTCTGCCAACTGCCGAAATAAACTTTATTAATTCCAAGTCTTATTTTTTTTTACTGTGCCCGCTTAGATATTGAAATACGGCCAGGAATTATTAGCGCCTGGCTATTTTAGGTCTTCAATAACTCCTTATTTTAGATCTCTCCTTATTTTATATCTCTCCTTATTTTGTTTTTTCCACGCATTCATGGTAGAAAGAAAAATATGTTATCGAATATCGATACCGTATACCGTGCAGCAGGCACGCCCATCACTACTTTGACGGATTGCAGAATGATGTCAAGGTGACAATCGTTATGTGGCAGTTGTTTTTGTTTTTGTCTGAAATAGGTAAGTAGGATTTGTGTATTCATTTTTATTTTTATAGCGTTTCCAGAGTTTCATATTTCGAAACCATGTCAAGGGCCGGCAGGGAAAAATCTTTCTCTGAGAACTGAAAATCATTAAACGCGCTGTTTTCAGTCTATCTTATTCTATCCCTTGGGGAACTACAGAATGAAGAAAAGACTACAGTGCTCAGTGGCCACTCAGTGGCTCAGTGCTCGTCTGTAATGATAATATTCAAATACTACTAAACACCTAAATAGCTTTCTGGCCTTTCAATGTTGAAGCTACCAGTCCTCGCTTAGAGATGGTAGCACAGTTAAGGATAGACTCGGGGTACACGGTTACGGATGTTTATGATTCCTCTCGATATCGATATATCGTCACGAAACCATCGATGCGTAAAGATCGATGTTCTACGTCCGATGTATCGATGTTTTCGATACATCAATGTATCGTCTATCGTCGCCATCCCTATATTGTATCCCCACCAGTCACCAGTCAAAAACCTTAACCACCAGTATTTTATCACTATTTATAATTCTTCTTAGCTCTTATTTTTCAGTGATTACTAATAATTTTAGGTCTATGTCTACAGTAATTGCATTATGCACCTCGGAGATGTAGGGATTAACATGTTTTACACATATCGGTGTTTTAGGATGGGGACGACCATACTGTTTTGATTGCTTTAACCCATGAATTTATAACAAATGATTACTATTATGATGTAAAGAGAGATGAGGAATTGGTTGGAATACATTTTATATTCTATTTTCTTGCAAATCCGCACAATTCAACAGGTATGTGTAGCAATAATGAATTTCGAGATTGCCATGAATTGACAAACGACCAAACCTGCTGCCAAATTTAACAGCTAGAAAATTGACCTATTATTTCTCCCATTCCCATTCGCTGAGGGGATAACGGATGGTCAAATGTACACCTATAACATAAATCAAAATAAAAAAGTAGTCCTGTTTTCTCTGTACAAAAGCATCATGTTGGAATCAAAAAGTGGTCTTGTTTATAATACAGTCGAATTTTCACGATTTTATTCAACATTTTAATAGAAATCACTGATATTCTGAGACGTTTGACAGCTTCCGTCAAATTGCATTTCGATAAGGTATTTTCCTATTGGTCCATAATATTAATGTTATAGATAAGTGATGAACATGCAGCTCCCCATGCTAATATAACATAAGTGACATGAGGCTGAATCAGTGTATATGAAAATATTTTTCTGTTAGTATATTCGCAAGGTATTTAATTTTGTATGAATCTAACTTCTTTTAAAATATAATTGACATGGATGGCCCAACGTAAGTGTGGATCCAATACAATTCCAAGGTATTTTATGTTTGGCGCTCTATTAATTTGCATTTTTTTATTATTAATGTTGAAGGAGAAAATTGTGTAGTTTGGAAAATGGTAAAAGATGTGTTTTAGAATAGTTAGTGCTTAGTTTTCTGCTATTAAGCCATCGCATAATTCTGACAAGATTATTTCAATTACATTTTTTTCTAGATCAGACCAGTCAGTTCATTCATAATATTGCAGTGTCATCTGCAAAACTGGTTATTTTGCCAATACAATTAAATTGTGGATCACCACACTTAATATACAATTCTTTGCTAAATGATCTTAATATCTGTACAGACTGTGGGCGATTTGATAGATAGTTTTCGATCAGCGAGTATGCTTTTCTTCTAGAACCAATTCTCTCCAATGTCTCTAATAATAATTTGCGATTTACTGTGTCAAAAGCTTTCTTTCAATCAGAAAAAATGCAGATAGATGAAATTTTGTTAAAAGCATTTTGATGTATTTGATTTACTATTTTAACTATTGCATCTGATGTAGACTTCCCTTCTGTAAATCCATATTGATTTTCACTTAAAATTTTGTATTTTGTGAGATAGAACTTTTTCAGATACCTTTTACACACTGGATATTGTTAATATTGGTCAACTCGTAAGATTATTAACATCGATTTTTTCTCCAGATTTATGTATCTGTATTATATTACTCTTTTTAAAATTGAGGGATACTCGTATATACCTGACTCAAAGCATTTATTGATTAGGTAAGTAAGTGGTCCTGTCATGTCTTCGGCTATCACTTTCAAATGCTCGCTTTTAATACCCTCGAACCCAGGACTTTTTCGATTTTTTAAGGATATAACAGTGGTGTGTACCACACATTGCTCTACTTTATTCAAGATAAGTGAGTTCAAAGACCTTTTTGGAAGCTGAGTATTGAGCACAT